CAGGCTGGAGTGCAATGGCGTGATCTCGGCTCACCGCAACCTCCGCCTCCTGGGTTCAGGCAATTCTCCTGCCTCAGCCTCCTGAGTAGCTGGGATTACAGGCTCGCGCCACCATGCCCAGCTGATTTTTTGTATTTTTAGTAGAGACGGGGTTTCACCATGTTGACCAGGATGGTCTCAATCTCTTGACCTCGTGATCGACCCGCCTCGGCCTCCCACAGTGCTGGGATTACAGGCGGGAGCCACCACATCTGGCCAGGAGCCAGATTTTGTCAAAAAAGCGCTCAGGCCCCCATCAGACCCCTTGCGGCCTGTGGGAGTGTGACTTGCATCCCTTCGGGTGAAGGGTCAGCCAGCTCAGGACCGCCCCTCAGGGAGGGCAGGGCACGCAGACCCTCCCTGGAGACAGAGCAGAGCGAGGCACGGAAGCCAAGGAGCAGGCAGTGGGCAAAGCGGTTTATTCACAGCGAGGTGGGGGAGACCCGTCAGCAGGGGCCCGGGGCAGGAGGGAGGGCCAGGCTCACGCAGGGAGGGGCAAGAGTCAATTCTGTTCTTCAGGGTCACAGGCAGCAGGCAAGGGAGTTGGGGGTCCAGGCCCAGCACCCACTGTGCCCTCATGGAGCCTCCCCGGGACAGCATTGCATAGTGACCAGCCAACCGGCCTTAGCCTGACATGGGCAGAGTGGGGGAAGCTCTGCCTCCCTGCCGGGCATCTTCGGGGAAGGGATGCATGAAGGCATTGGCGACCCCTGCAAAATAAGCTGAGGGACTCCTGGACCCAAGGGTGAGGCTGGCCAGGGGCAGGGCTGGGGTTGAGGCGTCCTCAAGAGTCCACAGAGAAAAGACGCAAGACAGACAAGGTCTGTAGAAAACCCCCTCGATGCGCTACAAAGAACGTAAGATTCTGGGTGGAAAGTGGCAAAGTGGCTTTATGCACAGGCTCTGGGTGAGTACCGAGAGAAGGAGCCTCCAAAGGAGGCAGGGACGTGCTGGGGCAGTCTGGCACGGGGACCTTCATGGCCAGCCACGTGGCCTTGGGACGCCCGCGTCCAGCCAGGGCTGAGGACCCAGGCCAGAGCCCCTCCGCCCAGCACCTGTGATGCCAGCCTGAATGCTGGGGTCACTAAGTGAGGTACTCGTTGGTTCCCTGGATGGGCCACCCCTTCTGACCTAGGAAGGGCTCTGGGGTGTGCAGGAGGGACCCAGCTAGCAGGTCAGTGTTCTGGGTAGCAGTGGGGCGCTAAGTGACAGGCCCTGAGGACAGGGGACACAGGTGACACGGGTCTCAACAGTGGCTTGTGACATGAGCAACCCAGGCCTCTGAAAAGGTGTGACCTGAAGACAGAGGTTCCCCAGGTGGGGTCAGGGGCACCCGACAATGCAGCACCCCCAGGGAATCGTGAAGCTCCAAGAGACTCAGTGCTGGGTGGGGCTTCGCGCTCCTCCTGGGAGAGCGGGGCCCGAAGCACCCCGGCACTGGGTCTGCGGGGCATTGGCCCGCAGGTCACCGGCAGGGCCGCGGCCAGGTGGGCGCCGGGGGCTTCGGGCCGGGCGGGGCGGCAACTGCCCGGCCTGCCCGGTCCTAGCTCTCCTCCAGGTGGAGGCTGATGAACTCCTGGATGCACCTGCGGAACTGGAGCTCCGTGGGGCTGCTTCCCGCCAGAGCGCCCGGGGGGCCCGGGACAGCCTCGGCCTCGCGCATTTCCTCGGCCATGCGAGCCAGACGGAGCCTGCGGGGAGGCGCAGCGTGAGGCGGCTCCGGAAGCCGGCCCCGCCCACAGGCCCCGCCCCGGAAGCCGGCCCCGCCCACAGGCCCCGCCCCCGGAAGCCCGCCCCGCCCCACAGGCCCCGCCCCCGGAAGCCCGCCCCGCCCCACCCCGGAGGCCCCGCCCCGAGGACCCGGCCGCGCTCACAGCGTCACGATGTCGGCATTGGCCGCCTGCACCGCGATGGCCAACGGGTCACGCTGCTCTTGGTCCAGTGCGTGCTGGTCCGCGCCCCGCTTCAGGAACAGGCAGACCTGGCTGAGGGGCCAGGGCAGAGGAGCGTGTCGGGGCTTAAGCGGAGAGGGCGAGGCGTGTTCGGTCGAGGGGCGTGCCCGGGGACGGGGCGTGTGTGTTCGTGGGGCGAGGCGCATGCGCTCACGGTCGCGGCTTGAGCGGGGAGGGCGGGGTGTGCCCGGCGGGGCGGGCCGGGCCGGGGGCGGGGCGGGGCGGGGCGGGGCGGGGCGGGGCGGGGGCGGCGCGCCTCACCCCGTGCGGCCCAGCAGCGTGGCGTGGTGCAGGGGGGCCCGGCCCCGGCTGTCTCTTTGGTTCACGTCCGCTCCGTTTTGCAGCAGGAACTCACAGACAATCAAGGAGCCCTGGGGAGCCGAAGCGACTCAGACGGAGCCGTGATACCGGCCTCTCGCAGCGCCTCTGCACCCCGACCCCAGCCTTGGGCGCCCCAGCCGGGACCGAACCTGGTCCCCACGGCGGACAGGCGGCCCTCGTGTGGGAGCCACAGAAGATGCAAACGCGAGTGTGCACCTGTGTCCTACGCGCAGCGCCCGTGCCATGCTCACCCCTAGCACGGCCTGCACCAGCGGTGTCTTGCCCTCGTCCTCCGCGTCCGCCCAGTTGACCTCGGCCCCGTGGGCCAGCGCCGCTGCCAGTGCGGGAAGGTCGCGAGCGCGCGCCGCACGGTGTGCCAGGAGCCCCGGGTGCAGCTCGCGCACATCCGCCAGGCCCCAGGCCTCGGCCTCAGCGTCCCCGTCCGCCTCGCCGCTGGACTCCTCTGACTCCACGCCCTCTGTGGGGAGGGGGCGGTCAGGGAAGGCGACCTCCCTGGGGTTGCCCAGGGGCTAGGCAGGGTCCTCAGCCGAGGGCAAGGCGCCACCCACCCTCCTCAGTGACGCTGTCCACCACGGAACCCGCGCCGAAAGCCAGGACATCCGAGCTGCCATCTGAGCTGCCCCCAAGGCCACTGTCGCTGCTCAGACCTGTAGGTCCGCAGGGAAGGGAGTCCTGAGTGAGGGAGGCTCGACTCCACCCAGAACCCTGCAGCAAGGCTGGAACCCCACTCCCCCTCCAGGAGTCACCCCTAGGGACAAGACCAGCTCCCACCCGGGACTGGGGAGGAGCCAGCTGCAGGCTAGGAGCAAAGAAAAAAAAACCAAGTAACAGCTCAAAGGCACCAGGGGTAGCTCCCAAAGCCCAGGCCCAGTGGGAAGCCCGCCCCTCCTGCTCGCCACGCAGGAGGTCTCACTGGAGCTCACCTGGCATCCTCTGCAGTGGGCCCCCAGCCCTGTCTGTGGCTGGCCCAGGCTGAAAGGTCTCCACCCAACTGCCGGGCAGCATGGCCTCAGAAGAGCCCCAGGCTGAGGGCCAGCCAGCAGACACTCTGCTGCCCAGCACCCCGGGGCCACCCGCTCCATGTACACAACTGGGCACACACAGCCCACACGCACATTTGCACAGCTCACCCCCAACAGGGCCTCAGCCTCCAGCTCTGTCGCCAGGAGGCCCCCACCCATCCAGATGCTGCTCCATTCCCCAGCAAGGGCTGTCCATGCCTGGGTGCCCTCCAGGCCAGCCTCCCTGGCCCTGCCCTGCCACCTGGCTGGGCCCACCCCACACTTACTGCGAGGGCCAGCCCCCGCGGCCCCTGCATCGAAGTAGGAGAAGAGGGAGTCCAGCTCGTCAGGGCAGAAGAGGGAGTCCCGGCGGAACCTGTGCTCCAGGGTGCCCACTGCAGGGGCAGCCATGTGCTCAGAGTGGGGGAAGGGCCCAGAGTGGGGCCAGGAACCCCAGCTGACCCCCAGAGTCCCTGCCCAGCACCTCGACGGAGTCCATCCCCCACCGAAGCAAGCCCCTCCCAGCCCTGCAGGGCACAGCTTCCCACCTGAGGACAGAGCAGCCACACAGGGCAGGGCGGGCTCAAGCCGGACCTTGCGGCGGGCAGCGGGGACGCGGGGAGAGCTATGGGGCCGCAGGCACTTCTGCGCCCTCCAGCGTCTTGGGGCCTCCCGGGCTTGCGCCACAGGTGCCTTCCGCAGAAATTTCTTTTCCACGTATTTGTCCTTGATCCAGGCCTCCTTGTCCTGCCTGGACCAGGGGTGAGTATGAGGCTTTGCCCCCAGGCTGGGGCTCCCCGATGATCTGGACTGCACCCCACCTCACCGGGGGCTGCTGGCGCTGGGCTTCCTGCTGCCTGTGCCCTCAAACTGGGCCTCGTAGATCTGGTTCACAGTGCTGTTTCCAAGCTCACACATCAGCTGGTGGGAGACGGGTGAGCAGGCATCAGCGCAGACCTGCGGATCCCAGCTCCCGTCCCCACAAAGGGGATCCCATGGCCTTCAGGAGTCCCACGCCCACCTTTAGCAGCTCTGGCTCCCACGAGTCCAGCGTCAGGGACCGGACCTTGGAGCAGTGGACACCCAGGCTCCTGGAGGGCAGAAGCAGGGACCAGTCAGGGCGAGGCAAGGCCTCCAGCCCCGCCCACCCCCCAGTCCCAGCCCAGCCCTCAGGGGCCCACCTGTGGATGCCTGAGCATTCGATGCAGAGCAGCACGCCCAGGTTGATGGAAGCCCAGCGGGGGTCCGGCTGGCCACAGTCACCACACTGGCTGTTGCCGGCCACATTCTGTACACGCTGCAGCACACTCTCGCCCTTCACGCTGCGCTCCCGAGGGTCGGTGGCGGAGTCGATGCTGCTCGTGGACGGGGATGCTGTGCGGTCCAGCCTCTGAGGGATGGGGTGGGGCTGCTCGGTCCCACAGGGGCCAGCGTGGTTCCCCCAGCAGCTCCCCTCCTCCCCAGCCAGAAGTGCCAGCGCAAGCCAGGGCCCTCCCTCCCCCCCTGGAGCACACACCTCCACAAGCACGTGCACACCCTCCCGTGGGCAGAGACTGCGCACACACACATGCACACCCACACTGCACAGGCAGCACACCGCCCGCAGGAGCCATCCGCGGTGGCAGGCATGTGCACGGGCATGGGGCGGGGCCGTCCGTGGTGGCATGCAGGTGGATGGGCATGAGGCGGGGTGCCGAGGGCCACACCTCGCTGTAGCAGCTGTCGGGGCTCTCTCGGTAGGCAGAGGCGATGCTGGCCTGCACGGCCTGCACCCAGGCCTGCCTCAGCTTCTCAGAGTCGGCCTGCAGCATGCAGCTCCTGCAGGTTGGTGGGGGGAGCAGGCGTCAGCTCCAATGGGCAGGCGCTCCCCCCGCAGACCCCTCCCCCCGGGCTGGGCCTCCTCACTTGGTGGGTGACACCACCTCGAAGCAGAACCTGCGTTCCGTGTCCTCGCAGGGCTTCACAGAGCACAGGCGGAGGTCATCCACGACCACGGTCAGCGCGTCCTGTGGGAGCACTGCTTTGGCCCCTGCCCTCAGCCCCCACCCCAGCCCAGCCCGCCCCCTTCCTGCTTTGCCTTAGAGACTGGAGGCCGAGCGCCCGAGCCCCAAGCCCCATCTCCAGCTCTGCTCCCTGACCGTCCGGCCTCTGACGTCCACTAGTGCTCCAGCCCCATGCCAACCCCAATTGACCAGTCTGCCCTGTGGCCCAGGTGGGGCGTCCAGCCATCAGGCCCAGGCCCAGAGTGTACCTTGAGCTTCTTCTGGTAGACCAGCTGGCTGTTCTGAATGGAGAACCAGCGCCTAGGTGGGTGGGGGGACTCAGGGAGTCAGGCAGAGCCACCCCAGGGCCGCTGTGACCCCTGCCCCCCAGGAAGGCCCCTCACCGGTTCCAGGTCTTGAAAGCGTTACTGGCCCTCTTGAAGAGGTAGCCCTCCATCACCACCCCACTGGGCGCATCCACGTCAAATTCCACTTTTGACTCATCGTAGGAGAAGTCCTGGGGGATGGAGCCCACCCCCTGAGCACTCCCCTGTGGGATCTTGCTACCCTCTAGGCTTCCTTGGAGCATAGGCGGGGGTGGGGTCCTTGTCTGAGGCTGCCACAAGGCCTTGGGCCACACACTCAGGCAGGAGACCTCAGTTCACCAAAGCCACTTCCTGCCCTCAGCCAGGAAACCCATGGGCAGACCCCTTGTCTTCACAGCTGGGGGCCCGAAAGTGCCTGCCCCACCCCAGCCCTGCAGGGACAAGCAGGCTGTGATCAGGAAGGAAGCTGCCCCCCGCCCTCTGCATCCTAAGTGCCCCATTCATGTGGCCAGCTGGGCAGACAGAGCCCCATTCAGGAGGCTTGGGAGCCACTGAGGGCCCTGTGTGTCCTGCCGTCTGGCAGGCCAGGGCAGTGGAGGGGAGGCGAGGCCACCTGCTCCCCAGGCCGCGTGGGGCGGGAAGGGACAGCTGCACGGGGGATGCGGGGATCTGGCCAGAGCCAGCCCCTCTCACAGCGCAGGCAACTGGGAGAGCAATTAGGCCGGCAGGAGGTGTCCTTGGTGCTGAAGGGCCCCCGGGGCAGGGGAGGGAAAGGCACCGCCTCATCTGGTTTCTGCCGCCCGAGGCCACACCCCGCCCAGGCCCAGTGCTCACTCACCTGCAGCAGTGTCTGAAGGGCCGGAGCAGGAGGAGGTGGGGAGAGAGCCAGTGAGTGACAGCTGCCCCCAACTCCTGGCGACTGGCGGACCCGTCCCCAACTCCCGAGGGGCTTTTAACCCAAAATAGCCATTCCTGCCTGCAGCCAACCTCTGCCCTGGGTGGTGGCAGGGGCTGCCGTCCGGCAGGCAAGCAAAGGTCCCACAAGGGGCCGGTGACTGGGGCCAAAGAGGTGACCACGGCCTCAAAGGAAGGAGATGCGGGTCCCAGTGGCAGTCCAGCAGAGACCCCACCCACACATGCCCCTCCACTGCACACATCAAAGGGCAGCAGCCTCTGTGCCGTAGAGAGGGTATGGGCAGGGCAGGTGAGAGACAGGCTGGGAGGACAAGGCGGGAGTGTGTGCTTGGGCGTGGGGTGAGGATGCAGGGGCCTCCCGGGCACCCGGAGCGCTGGGAGCCGGCTGCGCGGCCTCACCCGCTGCTGGATCGCGGCGTGCTTCCGTTCCATCTCACGCTTTTCCACCGCAGAGTCAATCACCAGCTGGTCCAGCTGTTGGGGGCCGCGTTAGGGAAGGCCACGGAGGCCACGGAGGCCCCGCCCCCGCCCCCCAAAAGGCTCACCTCGGCTGCCAGCTTCTTCATGTAGGGGTCCAGCTGGTGCAGGAGGCTGTGGCCCTGCTGGAAGAAGCTGGACTGGGCGTGCATGAAGGACAGCATCTGCGGGGGCAGCACAGGTGAGGCCCGAGCACACCCGCTCCAGCCCCGCCCAGCAGCCTGTGCTCATGGGCAGCCCCCACGCACTCACAGAGTCCAGGATCTCAAACTTCTTCTTGGCCTGCAGGACGTTGATCTGCCAGAGGGGGAGCCCACAGGTGAACCCCCCCGAGGCTGAGGCAGCCCCAGCCCTGCACTTCGCTATAGAGTCCACCTGAGCTGCTTGTGGTTCCCTGAGACCCCCAGGTCGTCCTCAGCTCCCAGCCCTGGGCCAGCCTCATCCTCCCGTGGTCCTGGAGTCCTTCCCCATGTCCGGAGGTCCCACCCATGGGCAAAGCAGGAACGTTGCTCCTGCTCAAATCCTCCCGTCCCGCTGTGCAAGGTCTCTGAGGCCTCCCTTCGCCATAGCTGGTCCCTACCCGCCGCCCCATTTCCGGGGCTGACCTGGAGCACGTAGTCCAGGGCCAGGTGTCGGAAGCACTTCCTGGTGAGAGTGAGGGCCCCGGTGGCTTCCTCCACCTCGTGGGGCCGGTGCCTCGGGGCCTGGGCGTTCCTCACCAGGGACAGCTCCAGGTCCTCCCGAACCTTGTCAAACTGCTTCTTGGTCTCCTTGAACTTCCGCACGTCCCTGGAGGCCAAGTGCCAGGTGGGGTCAGAGGTCAAGGAGGGGCACCTGCTAGATTCTGCAGTCGCCCATGTTGGTTGTTTTTTTTTTTTTTTTGGGGGGGGGGATGGAGGTTCGCTGTGTTGCCCAGGCTGGAGTGCAATGGCCCAAATCTCAGCTCACCACAACCTCCACCTCCTGGGTTCAAGCAATCCTCCTGCCTTGGCCTCCCAAGTAGCTGGGATTACAGGCACGTGCCACCACGTCTGGCTAATTTTGTATTTTTAGTAGAAACCAGGTTTCTCCATGTTGGTCAGGCTGGTCTCGAACTCCTGACCTCAGGTAATGCACCAGCCTTGGCCTCCTAAAGTGCTAGGATTACAGGTGTGAGCCACTGCTGTGCCCCACCTGTTTTTTTTTTTAATTAATTAGTTTTTTTAAATTGCATTTTAGGTTTCGGGGTACATGTGAAAAACGTGTTAGACTGGTGCATAGGTACATACATGGCAGTGTGGTTTGCTGCCTTCCTCCCCATCACCTATATCTGGCATTTCTCCTCATGTTATTCCTCCCCACCTCCCCACGCCCCCGCTGTTCCTCCCCCCTACCTGTTATTTTGAGACAGAGTCTCTCTGTCGCCCAGGCTGAAGTGCAGTGGCACAATCATGGCTCACTGCAGCCTCTACCTCCCAAGCTCAAGCAGTCCTCCCACCTCAGCCTCCCAAGTAGCTGAGGCTACAAGTGTGTGCCACCATGCGTGGCTAATTTTTGGTTCTTGGTGTTTTCTTTTTCAGACGGAGTCTCTCTGTCACCCAGGCTGGAGCGCAGTGGCACAGTCATGGCTCACTGCTGCCTCTGCCTTCTGGGCTCAAGTGATCCTCCCACCTCAGCCTCCTGAGGAGCTGGAACCACAAGCATGCACCACCAAGCTCAGCTAATATTTTTTATGTTTTGTAGAGATGGGGGCTCATTACGTTACCCAGGTTGGTCTCAAACTCCTGGCATACTCTGGCCTTGGCCTCCCAAATGCTGGGATTACAAGTGTGAGCCACAATGCCCAGCCCCATTCTCCTCCACTCCGGGCCCTTTCTCTGCTCCTGGGCACAGCCTCCCTTCCTCACCTACTGCCCCCCGCATCTGCTCCACGCCTCCCCACCTCACCCTCAGGATCAGTCCAGCCCAGACACCAGCCACGCCCGGACTCCAGACCCGCAAACCCAGCGTGGACTGGACATCTCCACTGTGCAGGGCATGGAACCCCCGTGCTCCACCCGGCTGTCTACCTCTGAGCCTTCTGCCTCTCGGAATCTCAGCGCAGCCTGGAGGCCTGGGGCCAGGGTGCTCCCGTTCCAGCCCAGACCTCTCTCCCCTCCAAGGGAGGGAGCGTGGCCTCAGTGTTCTTCCCCAGCCCTGGGGGCCCTGAGGGCCTGGGAGCCACTCACTCTTTGACAAAGTTGTGGAGCTGCTGCCGCACGGACCTCTGGGCCTGGTCAAACAGGATCTAGGGGCAGAGGAGGGCAGAGATCCTTGGGGTCGGTCCCCAAAGGGCCCCAGAGAAAAGGTCCCTTCCTCACCAGCAGAGGGCACTGCCCCCAGGCCCAGACATGGGTGGGTCCCACCTGGCAGAGCCGGCCTCAGGGGGTCAGGGGAGCAGCCCCCAGGCCTGAGTTAGCAGCCAGTGGCAGCTGTGGCCCTGCCTCTCTGCCCCACCTGGCCCCTCATGTGGCCCACACAGCTCGGGCACTCAGGGCACAGCCTGAGCCCCACTGCCTCCTGGTTCTGGGCGGCTGCCCAGGGTGCCCATCCCTGCAGCAGGGAGCACTGGTCAGAGCCGGGAGCATCCGGGGCTGGGCCTGGGGAACCAGATCCTGGGCTCCAAATCAGAGCCCCACATAGAGGAGGGCTGCGCATGACCAGGAAGGAGCAAAGGGGCAGCAGAGCCCTCCTGCTGGGTTTACCTCGGGACCTCCCCTGTGGGGTAGGGCCCCTGTTCAGTCTGTGGCTCAGACTCCCAAGCTTTGGCCCCACATCTCACAGCCTGTCCTGTGTCCATCCACGCCAGTGCTGGCGTCACCCAGACTCAAATGGCAGCCAGGCCAGCCTGGGACAAGAGCCCTGCCCAGTTGGGGGAACCCTGGAAAAACCACCCCCACTCCAGAGTCAAGTGTAGCCCTTGCCTGGGACACGGCAGAGCCCCGGGGCTGTTCCCCACCCCACACTGACACGAAAACCTAGGACACCCCCCCCCAGACTGGAGGAGCAGAAGTGAGGCCTCCCAGTGAGCACATGCAGCTGGGTTCCAGGCTAGGAGGGCCGCAGGTGGCCAGGAGGCCAGGCAGGCCAGGCTCACCATGTGGTAGTTCACCACCTCCTGCAGGCTGTCACCAAATCTCTGCAGACATTCCTGGAGGAGCAGATGGGGGCCTGCGCTGAGATGGCAGTTCTGGCCCAGGCCGCCCAACCACGCCCTCCAAGCCCCCGACGGCACAGACACCCGCCTGCTCCCAGGCCTGGGCGCCCTCAAGGGGCTGCTTTACTCGGGCTCTCCCCTACCCCGCCTTGAGGTCAGAGGTCAGCCAGCCCCTCACCGAGATGACAGTGTCGCCCCGGCACTGCTGGGACAGCTCCCGGACGCCGCTCACGAACAGCCTGCTGGTGCTGACGTAGGCCTTGCCGGCCTCCACCATGCTGCTGCACAGCTTCACCAGCTGCGGGCCAGCAGGGCATGGTGAGTACGGTGGGCACTGGCGCCTACGCCTGCCACCACACAGGGCCAGACACACAGGCAGGGAGAGCTCCCAAGGCGGCTCCACTCGGGCTGTCAGCACCCAGGACTCAGTGCGCGCAGCCCAGCTCCCCGCTGCTGCTCAGGCTTCTCACACTTGGGCCTGCCTGGGGCTGGGAGGCCGGTCTGGGAGGAGGGGGTGGGGCCGCCAGGGCCTCACTCAGCTGGAAGGGACCAGGAGCCAAGCAAAGGACCCAGAGCCAGCAGGACCAGCCTGCATGGGGCTCAGGGGCGAGGCTCCTCACGCCCAGCTCCACAGCCTGGTGCTCTCCCCTTTCTCCACCCCAGCCCCAGCCCAGAGACACCAAGACTGGGCCCACACAGCAGCTGTCCCCACATCCCCAGCCCAGCAGCCAGCAGAAGGGACAGGCGGTCACCGTGGGTCAGGGACTCACCACGACCCAGCCCCTCCTGGCTGGGATGAGACTCAGGGTCAGCCACGGATGTGCGTGTGGCGTGTGCACCCTGGAAAACACGTGCTAAGACACACGGGCCAGGTCCTGGAGCACCAGAGTGTGCTCCACATATGCGAGGTGTGGCTTAATAAGACCCACAGGGCCAGTCCTGCCCTGCGGCCATCCCAAGTCTGGCTGGGCGTGGGGCGCAGAGCAGTCCTGGACACATGAGCTCCAGGCCCCCCTCACCTTGTCCAGTTTGGCCTCAATCTCCACCACGTCCGTCTCCACCTCGTCGATGGTGGCCCTGAGAAGAACAGGGCTGGCTGGGGTCACCTGCAGCCTGGGCCCCTCGGAGCCAGGCTTGGCTTCACCCCCCTTAGACCTCTGTGAGGGGCTCCGCCACGGGAAGGTGCTTTCAGGAAACGGGCTGGGAGATGCAGGTGCCTGCCTGCTTCCCGGGGCAGGACTGGGATGCCCATCCAGCGCACTTCCCCCACCCCAGGCAGGAAGAGGCGAGATGGGCTGTGACTTGCACTGCTGTGCCCTTGGGGCAGAAGATTGGACCAGCCTCAACCAGGACTGCCAGCTAGGAGTCCCTCAGGGATAGTGCCCACCAGGGGCTGTGCCAGCCTTGCTGGCCCCTCCTCTAGGAGCTCAGAGTTGACCCTGGACCCATCTGGACCCCCCAACCCTGCGGCACCTGCCCCTCACCCCTCAGCACTCCTGCAGCCCACCCAGGCCTGGTGCCCATGCACCGTAGGACGGGGCAGGGGCGGCAGGGTGGCTGCTCTTGGTCCTGGCAGCGCCAGATGGCCTCAGACCAGATGAAAAAAGACACCGCTGGCTCCCCCAACCTCACAACTGCAAAGCGGTGCAGTCCAGAAAGAGGGGTGGGCCATCCTCCTCATAGCCACTCCCACCAGAACAGCCTGACAGTGGGGCTGCCTGGAGAGAGAAGAGTTAAGTCATGACATCACCAGAGACGCCTCCGCGGGAGAATCCCCGGAAGATGGGAGGCAGACGGATCGGCACGTGACCACCCCCCTCCGGGAGCAGGAAACAGGGAAACAGGGCCAGGATCCCCGCAGCCACGCACGCAACACAATCAGCTCAGCTGGCCAGCTGGGCCAGCCGGCCTCCTGGGGATTGGGCATCACAGGGCCCGGGCTGGGGCCAGGACGGGGTGCAGGACTCCAGGGTCAGGTCTCGGGCAGGGGTCGGGCAGCAGAAGCCATCGGGGCCCACGGTGCTTCATCCTTGCTGCCAAGTGTCCCAGGCCTGTGGGGAGGGGCCTTCAGGTTGCATGCCGCGTGTCCTCAATTAGGATCTGGGGCCTCGGGCGCCAGGCTGCCCAGTCAGGGACCTTGGAGGGTCCCAACCACCCAGCAGGACACCAGGTCCTCTCTGAGCAGCCCTCACCTGTTCCCGAGGGGCTAAAAGGACTCTGAATCCCAAAGCAGGAGGGAATGCAGGGAGGCTAGCTGTGGTATCTGCTGACCACCAGGGCCCAGCCTGCAGCCCCTGGAGCCCCACCTCTGCCTCAGCTTCTCCCCTCCCCTGGAGGATCCCAGAACCCAGAAGAGACCATCGCCCGGAAGAATGCGGCAGAGAGCCACGCCCCAGGATTTGCAGCCACCCCTGAGCAGGGCCGGATGCAGGGACAGCTGCACCCAAAGCTGCTGCCCTTGGGCCAGGGGCACCTGTGTCCCTGGAGAGCTGGAAAGGCGGAGCTGCACCCCGGAGCTCGCAGTCATGCTCATGGGGACAGGGTGGTCGTTGGCAGAAGCCCTGAGGGCTGTACCCACTGCTGGAAGTCCCTGAGCTCTCCCATCCTCAGCCCTGGGCACCTGGGCCTCCTCTACTGTGCTCAGCCCAGGCTTCCTCAGCAGCTTGGAGGATGGGGAGGAGGGTGAAGCTGCCCCCACCTCCAAAGTTGTGACTCAGCTCCTGACGCCCCACCCAGGGGAGGGGCACGCTGAACAGAGGCCAGGCGGTTCCCCTAGGCAGGCTCCCCGGCCCCCCACCCACTGTATCCGGGCTGCCACTAGGCCCTCCCCAAACCAGGAGGGTGCAGACAGGGTCCCGCTTTCCAGGACGGGGGTGACCAGGCTCCACATTACTGACCACGTCCTCTCGCCCACCCTGCCCAGCCTCCCAGCCCCGTGGAAGGCCAGGAAGCTCAAGTTACACCCTCAGGGCCCCCTGAGAATGGGCATTCAGGAGACCCCCAGGTCAGCCTCCGGGAACCCCTCAAACCCCAGTTAAATCACAGCCTAACCCCAAAACTCACTGGGCCAGGCTTCTGCGGCCCAAGACCAGCGTCCAGTCCAGTCCATGCCCGGCGGGGGTGAGGCAGTTTCCCATGGCAGCCCACCCGCAAACGCCTGGCCAGCCACCCCGCAGTACGGACCGCAGCCCCATAGGCCCCACAACCAGCTCCTGTAACCTGCTCTACAGAAGCCCATCAGAGGGGAGTGAGTTCCAGCACCCCACCTGACCGGGCAGAGCAGCACAGCCCCTCTGTGTGGGGGAGAAGATCGTTAGGCTTTTGAGAGAGGAAGCAGGGAGAAGGTGGGTGCTTCAGCCCCCAGCAGGCAGGCCATCCCACGCCTCCCCACAGCAGCCTGGGTCCTCAATGCAGGATCGTGGGGTGCCTGAGTTGTTCAACCCCTTTTCCCGGTCAGCAATGGAAAATGGGAGAGCAGAGGGCAGCCCCAGTTCCTCGGCCCAGGGCCAGGGACCACTCTTCTGGCTGCCTCAAGCCTCCCACTGCAAGGATCCTGAGGCCTCCTGGGGAGGGCTCCAGGGATGCTGAGGCTCCCCATGCCTCCACACACAGGCTGACTTGCCAGCAGGTCCCAAGAAACCCAGCGCGCGTGGGCGCGCGCGCGCGCGCACACACACACACACACACGCGCGCGCACACACGACCAAGCACGCATGTGCAAACATGTTCATGCACAAACATGCCTGCACAGTAGCACCACACATACAAGTGTGTCGAAGGAGTGCACACACACCGACGCACACCCAGTGGTGGCACACGCGTGTAGAGGCTGACGTGTGTCTGTTGGTGACGTGGCTAACAGTGCGTGAACCCACACAGGAGTGGCACGTGCACACGCCTGCGTGCATCCATCGGTAGGCTACATGCAGGCACCACGCACAGCCCAGGGGCACGGCTCACCCCCACGTGCTGTGCAAGGCCTGGCGGCCCGACGGAGGCGCACAGAGGGGCAGAGCTCACGAGGGCGCGCCCCGCACAAACATGTGCAGCGGTGGGGGCCGCACGCAGGTGCGCCCTTGAGGATGGACAGAGGCTTCTTTGCCAAATGTCCACCAAGCGAGGCTGAGCCACCCTTGTGCACACGCCTGTGAACGCCTGGTTCCCGCAGGTGTGTCCACCTGCACGCCAGGAACGACGGAAAACACTCGCACTCGGGGTGGACGCAGCCCCTGCCCCCCACCGACCCTTCCCCGCTCTCCTCGGCCCCTCCCCTCCAGGCCCCGGGGCCATTCAAACGCTGCAGGCTTCCACGCAGCCTGCCCAGGCCTTAAACGCGGCTCCGGCTGCCTGTCCTCCCCGCGCTGCTCTGGACACCAGATCGAAGCACAGACCAGGGGCCGACGCCCCCACGGACCCAGACGACCCCGGCCAGAGCGGGACCGCAGGGCCCGGGAGGGCTCAGGCCGCGGAGGTGCAGACACAAAGCGGGGCGGACGGCCCCGGGGTGGCCGCACAGGGGCGCCTTTTGTTCCGGCCCCCGGAGCACGGCGGGGCGGGGCCGCCGCTTTGTCCGAGGCCGGTCCTCCAGCCCCTCCCCGGCGGCCGCGGCCCGGCCCGACCTGACCTCCCCAGCCCGCCGCCGGGCACAAAGGCGGCAGCGACGCCCCCGGCCCGCGCCCACCCCGGCGGACCCCGGCGGCGCACCTGAAGCGCGGGGAGTCCTTGACGCACTCCTCGAACTCCACGGTCATGGCTGCGGCGGCCGCGGCGCTCACTGGCACGAGGACCGCGGCGCCGAGCGGCAGCCGCGCCGGCCCGGCCCGCTCGTCCCGCCCGCGCCGCCTCGGCGCCCGCCCGCCCGGGAATGAGGCCGCCGCGCCGCGCCCCGCCCCGCCTGTCACCGCCGGGGAGCGTCGCCAACGTCCGCCGCCCGCGCGCGCCGCCCGCTGTCACCGCCGGGGAGCGTCGCCAAAGTCCGCCGCCCGCGCGCGCCGCCCGACGTCACCGCCGGGCAGCGTCGCCAAACGCCCCTAGCAGCGTCCACAGACCACCCGGGTCCGCAAGTGAGGCGGGGACCGCAGCGGTCGACTTCGGGGAGGGTCGGCCGGGCCGTGGGGCGCGGGGAGGGCGCGGACCCCGCCCGCTCCAGCCATCCTGGCCGTTGCGCAACTCAGGGCGTTTGCAAAAACCACGTCTGGGAGGACGTGGCCGCAACGCGGCAAAGAGCGCGCTCGGGGAGTGTGGGCGGCGGCGAGTGCATGAGCGAGCGAACGAACGCACGCCCCCGGGAGCGCGGGGTCGCCGCGCGGTTGCGAGCGCGCCTCCCGGGGCGCCGCGGTGGCGGTAAAGGCCCTGCGCTTGGCGGCGGGCAGGCACTTTGCAACCGCTCCCTAAGCCCGGCCCCGCCTCCGCTCCCCGCCCCAGGCCGCCGTGGCGCGCTGCCGGGGTGCGGGGCGACCGCGCATGCGCAAGAGCGCGACCACGCCGCGTGCGCGCGCTGCAGACCACCTCCCGCGCCGCGGGCCGGGCTCGGCCATGGGTTCGGCGCCGGCCGCGGGCTCGGTGCGCGCGCGCTACCTGGTGTACTTCCAGTACGTGGGCACCGACTTTAAGTAGGTGTCCCAGGCGCGGCGGGGACCACTACGTGGGCCCGGGTGGAGGCGGGAAGGAGGGCGCGGGCGGGCAGGCGGAGGTCTCCGGAAGCGAGCTCCAAACGTTCGGGGGAGGAAGCGGCTTTGGCCTCGGAGGGCGGCCCCAGTAACCTCCGCCCGCCTCTTCCCGCAGCGGGGTGGCGGCCGTCAGGGGCGCCCAGCGGGCCGTCGGGGTCCAGAACTACCTGGAGGTGAGCTCGGCGGGTCCCGGGACGCCCGGTGAACGGCAGGGGGGAGGCCCCGCCCGCGCGTCCCGGGAGTCCGGCCCGGCCCACCCGCCCGCCCCGCGGCTCGGTCCTGCAGGAGGCCGCCGAGCGGCTCAACTCCGTGGAGCCGGTCAGGTTCACCATCTCCAGCCGCACAGACGCCGGGGTGCACGCCCTGAGCAACGCGGCGCACCTGGACGTCCAGCGCCGCCCGGGCCGGCCGCCCTTCCCGCCCGAGGTCCTGACCGAGGCCCTCAACACCCACCTGCGGCACCCGGCCATCAGGTGAGCCCGCGAACTGAGCAGCCCCGGGGCTCTGCCGTCCCGACTCCGCGTGTCGCGGGCGAGGTTGGAGGTCTGGGCAGCCCGAGGAGTCGTTCCCCCGGTGAGCCCGACCTGCTGCCCCAGGGTCCTGCGGGCCTTCCGAGTGCCCAGCGACTTCCACGCTCGCCACGCAGCCACGTCCCGGACCTACCTGTACCGCCTGGTCACCGGCTGTCACCGGTCTGACGAGCTGCCCGTGTTTGAACGCAACCTATGCTGGGCTCTCCGGGCAGAGTGAGTGTGGCCCTGACAGCGGGCAGGGAGGGGGCAGGCCGGCCCCCCTTCCTGACGGTTCCCCTGATCCCTGAAGCCGCCTAGACGTGGCCGCCATGCAGGAAGCGGCCCAGCACCTCCTCGGCACACACGACTTCAGCGCCTTCCAGTCGGCCGGCAGCCCGGTACCAAGCCCCGTGCGGACACTGCGCCGTGTCTCCGTGTCCCCAGGCCTGGCCAGCCCCTTGGTCACCCCCCAGGAGAGCAGGTGAGGAAGGCCCATAGCCTGTGGCCCTGCCCTCAGACTGGCAACGCTCACTTTAGCTCCAGCACCTCCCTCAGCAAAGGCAAGGCCAGGCGGGACAGGGACAGCCGGGCATCCTCAGGGCCTCGTCAGCTGGAGGATGTGGGGCAGTCGGGTGGCCAGGATGCCCCCCTGCCTGCAGCTATGCCCTCCCCTCAGGCTGAGGAGCAGAGCACAGGGAAGGCTGCCTTTCTGTGAAAAACCCCTGCCCTGCCTAATGAAAGAATCTTGGCAGCTACCAGAAAGGTTTCACTGGGGCCAGTGATTCTGGCCCAACCTGGCAGTGGCTGATTTCTGCTGCCCCCAGTACTGTCCGGAGAGCCACTCACAAGGTGGCAGCTTCTGACAACAGAACCTCCCCTGTTGGGTGAGCCCTGAGAGAAGGAAGAACTTCTGCTAGCCCCAGACTCCCATGCAGAGCAGCAGGTATAGGGCTTGGGCCTCTGGCCACGCTCCTCAGGGACGGCCAGGCTACCTGCCCAGCCTTCGGAGTCCTGCCACCTCCATGCCTGGGCATTGCTTGTCTGCCTCACTGGGGATGGGGTCAGCCAGGGCCCCTGGGGGACGAGCTAGTGGGAACCAGGCTTGTCCGAGGCCCCGCCCTGTCACTCCCTGAGTCTGGTGGGCTACCTACAGGCACTTGTTTTCCAGGAAGCTGCAGTTCTGGAGCCTCGAGTTTGAGAGCCAGTCCTTCCTGTATAGACAGGTGGGCTCTGTTCTGGGGCCCTCCCTGGGGGGGCGGGGCTGAGGGTGGGCAGGCCCCTGTGCAGTCTCGGCTCTGGGTCACAGGTACGGAGGATGACAGCTGTGCTGGTGGCCGTGGGGCTGGGGGCTTTGGCACCTGCGCAGGTGAAGACAATTTTGGAGAGCCAAGACCCCCTGGGCAAGCACCAGACACGCCTGGCCCCAGCCCACGGCTTATTCCTGAAGTCAGTGCTGTATGGGAGCCTTGGTAAGAGCAGCGGGCCGAAGAAGGGTTCTGCTGTATGCCCACTGACTGCTGAGGCCCAGTCCTCATGGGGGAAGGCACAGCCTTCCTGCCACCCGGCCACGGAGGAATCTGGCCATTGCCCAACCAGAAAGTCAAGGTGTGGGGTGGGGAGGCCGGGAGCCAGTGACTGCAGGAGTGCAGGTGTTCCCCCACGGTTGCAGCCCCTCAGTCCAGCCCGTCTTGCCCTGGCCCTGGGAGTCAGTGGCAGGGAGGGCTCTGGGCCAACCTTGCCCCAGACTGATGCAGTGTCTGGTGTGTCCACAGATGCTGCTTCCTGCACCCTGCAGGGGCCACAGTTTGGGAGCCACGAATGACCCTGGACGCTCAGCCAAAATCAGGCCACCCCAGGCCCAGCAGCCCTGTGCTTGTAAAGCCAGGGCAGTTGCGGCCACCTGGGGCCCCCAGCACTGCTGCCTGACCTCCAAATTAGCCCCGTCTGCCTCAGTCCCACCACCCTGGATGCCCATCTCTGTCCCGGGCGGGGCAGGGTGCAGTGCAGGACGTAGTCGGCACCAAGTGATCTTTTGTTATGCCTTTACTGGAAACTGCTGTCTGGGACCCCCTGCCCTAACCATCGTTTTGGGGGCCAGGAGCAGGAATAAAGGCAAAGCAGCCTGGAGGTCAGTTTATTTCTTCAGCTGCAAACAGCCACTCGGGCGGGCACATGACCCCCAGGGACTGGATCCGCAGGGTGTGTTCACCCAGTGCACCCACAGTCCTGAAGTGCAAGCCCAGGTCTCTCCAGCTAGGTGAGGGCAGAGGTAGGTGGGTGGGTGGCTGGCCTCAGCTGAGAGCCTGGGGGAGGCCCTTCTTCAGCAGAGACGTGAGGAAGCTCCCCAGCTCCTCGTCCTAGAGCAGAGGCAAGAGCACCATGGGCAGCACGGGACAGGGAGGGGATGGTGACACCTGAGCTGACCTCGGTGGGGTAGGGGCCGCCCCTTACCTGGTAGGTCCAAGAGACCAGCAGCACCTTGGTGCCTGGGTCCTCAGAGGGGGCGGCAGCCTGGATAAGGATGGACTCCACAGTCACCGAGCCGTCCGGGAGGTGCTGCACACAGTGGTCCTTCAGGATGCTGTGGGGAGGCTCCATGAGACCCTGCCTTGCCCCCAGGGCCCGAGGGGTGGAGGGGCAGGGCCGGGCGCCGACCTCTTGAGGTGGCTGTAGACACGCAATGCAGTCTCCTGCTCCTTTCGCGTGTCATGCAGGTGCACGCGGCAGGTGAAGCGCAGCTGGTGCTCGGCTAGGCCCAGCTCTTTGAGGGCTTGCTCTGAGGACACCAGCCGGAAATTCTGTGGGGCAGGGGCAGGTCAGAGAGCGCAGCAGTGGCCCTCCCCCCTCCAGAGGCCACCCTGCCACTCACGCTGTCCTTCATGATCAGGGTGCCGTGCAGGAGCCGTGGCTTCTTGGCCTCAGGGAGCAACCCTGTGGAGGCAGCAGGGGCCATCAACGTGAGGGCAGCTCCCAGCCACCCGGCCCAAGCACCCGGCCCGGCCCTGCCCGCGTACCCTGCGCCATCTCCTGCTTCAGCAGCCCCAGCGAGATGCCTACAGGGATGCTGAGGCTCGTGGGCAGCGTCACCGTCTCGCCGTTGGCCGGCATGTAGCAGCTGACCCCTGGACCCCGGGGAAGAGACAGTCTCAGTGCAGGCCGCCCACGCTGACCCGAGGTGGGCCCCAAGCCGCCCGCCCAGCTGCCTACGGAGCTCCTGCTCGATCTTCTGCTTCAGGAACTCCATCTTCTTGGCCTCGCCGTGCACCAGCAGCACACTTTCCGGCTCTGCCTGGCCCACCAGCTGCATGATGCCCTTGGCGTCCGCATGGGCACTGAACGACATGTACTCCACCTGCATCTTGACCTCCAGCTGCAGGCCGCAGGGCATGGACAGTGGTTATCACCAGGACGTGCCCCTCGACTCTGCCAGCCCGCAGGGGATCGGGACTCACCACCTGCCGCCCTTCCATCTCCAGCTTCCGCTGTCCACTGAGGATCTTGTGGCCCACGGTGCCCTGCACGCAGTAGCCGGGCATGATGACCTGGGGGCGGGCACAGAGCTCACAGCCACAGGACCCCAGCCTTGGCACCTCAGGGCCTTCCCTGGGATGCCCCAACTTGAACCCTGGAAGCTGTTTCCACCTGCCAGTGGTACCCTCCCAAGCCTAGCTGCAGACTCCAAAGGGCTCAGGTTTTGGCACAAGGCTGTCCAGGGCTGGGCTGGGGCTCTTCTGCCTAAGGTGGACGGGCTGCGTCACAGGGAGACTGAAAGGCCCCAGTGTCCCTCGGCCAGCAAGAGCTCAGGCAGAGTGTGTCAGGACAACCCGCTAGCCTCCAGGTTCCTGCACCTCACCACGGCCCTCACCATGTTCTTCTCATTTCCCGCCCATTTCCGGAAGATCTGCAGGGACTGCCCGGCGTGCAGCATTCCTGGCGTGGCAAACACAACCTACGAGAGACAGAGGGCAGGGGCGGGAGGGGGTCGACTCAGGGCAGGAGATGCCCCCCACCCCTGCTGCAGGCCCAGCCCAGAGACCCATGGGCAGGGACCTGTAGAAAGGCCAACTGACGTGGACACACTGGCCAGCCCCACCACAGTCCTCACCATTGGCCCTGGGTTGTCAGCAAAAGCCCGGTCAAAGGCCTTGATATGTTTGAACTCGAACATGTTCCTCTGAACAAAAGTCTTGCGGATCTTCTGGTTGGTCCAGGGGATGAACAGCTTGTAGTAGTGGTTGGCCTTCTCAGTCAGGCCCGTGGAGAAGTAGATGGGCACCTTCAGGTTCATGCGCTCCCTGGGGACCACCGTCCTGGTCAGCACAGTGGCCACGGGAGGACACTGCAGGGCAGGACTCAGCTGGGTCACCCCCACAATCTCATCTGCACGACCCATGCACAGGCCGGGTTGAGCCCCGTCTCCCATCATGACCACAGGAGGCCAGTGTCTGCACCCTATCTCCCATTAAGCCCTGTGGCAGCTGAGCATGGTGGAGGACCAGGAACCCCACCAAGAGCCACAAACAGTGGCACCGATGGAACGTCACGGGCCTCCCCCTGAGGACAGCAGCGAGCGGCACCCTGGGCAGGGCTGCCCACCACACCCAGCGGTTGTGCCACCGGACTGTGTGCACGCTGGGCCAACGCATGGCCGCAGCTTCCAGCCCGGGGCAGGGCTCCTGAAAGAGCCATCCTGGTAGCACCTACCAGAAGGTCTCCAGGAGGATGCAGAGCTCCTGGGCGCGGCCCAGCGCGAACACGGGGATCAGCACCTGGGGGACATATTACGCTTGGCCCAAGCAGGAGCCCTGGCTGCGTGGCCCCTCGGCACAGCAGGCAGTGTCCAGTGAGGGCACGGCCAGGCACCCAAGAGCTGCGGCCCCGTGTGGACCTTAGCCTCTCATATCTGCTCCCAGTCCCATCCCAGCGACTCTCTGGAGACAGAAGAGAGCGGCATGGGGGCCCTGGCCAAGGCTTCATCAGGATCTGAGGTAGGAGGGGCAAAGGAGCTCCCTAGGAAAGGGTCTCTGAGCTTTTCTCCTCAATGCTGAGCAAACTTTTCTCTCTCCCTACCTGAAAATGCAGCACCCCACACTCTGAGACGCTGACCTATGCCAAGGACAGCCAAGCCTGCCAGAAAGACCTGCCCGGCATGACTGAGGGCCTGTGTCCCCAGCCCTGCTGCAGCTACCTTCCCACCACGCTCCACAGTCTCGTGGACTTTCTTCAGGAAGTCTCGCTCCCGGCAGCGCTTGGAGTCGCGGATGGTCGTGGCGTACGTGGACTCTGTGATGAGCAGGTTGGGGCGGCACTTGTCAATCCACGCAGCTCTGGAACACGGGTCGGGGTGAGCCGTGGCAGACTGTCCCCACAGCTGCAGGACTGGGTGTGACAAGCTGGACCCCAGTCCCACCCCAGCTGCCTTCCTAGGCCACTCTGGCTGGAAAGACCCAGCTGGTAAAATGCTGTGGACAGCACACTTGGGAAGAGAGGAGGCACAGAGGTCTCTGCCTGGACCCTGTGCCTTCGCGAAACTGAGCCCAGAAGGAAGGGGCTCTCCGGGCCACACCAGACCTGGGAGACACTGCTGGGCTGTCCACTCAAGGGCTGGCATCCCCACAGCTACAAGGGTCACGAGCTCCAAGGGGGCCTACAGGACAAAAGACGCCTCGGCAGACTTACCCCAAGTGTCGGTCTGGGGTCATGTTGTAATCACCCTGGTGAATGAACAAGGCCGCCATGGCGAGGGTGCCTCCCACCCCGGTAGCCCCTCCCGAGCCTCCGGCCCCTTCCACTGACCGTGTAGACCACAGACTCTGAGCCCACTTTAATCTGGAACATGGCTGCCCCCAGCACGTGGCCTGCATAGTAGGCCTTGATCTCCAGCTCGTCATCCACCTGTGGAGGACGGGGCTGCGCTCAGGCTCCGCCATCAGAGCAGAGGGGCGGGGGTGGCAGGGGTGGGAAGTGAGGGCACCGCACTGAGCCTTTCATTCCCTGTTTCTCACATGGCACCCAGTTCATGAGGAACAGGCAGCAAAGACCACGAACGGGAAACAGACAGAAGACTGAAGGGCGCTAATGGCAGAGTTTCCAGCGTGGACTCCGAATGCACTGGAGATGAAGAATGCTGGCAGCTGGGTGCGGTGGCTCACGCCTGTAATCCCAGTACTTTGGGAAGCCAAGGCAGGCAGATCTCGAGGTCAGGATTTCGAGACCAGCCTGGCCAACATGGTGAAACTCCATCTCTACTAAAAATACAAAAATGAGCTGGGCATGGAGGGGTGCACCTAAAATCCCAGCTGCTCAGGAGACTGAGGCAGGAGAATCACTTGAACCTGGGAAGTGGAGGTTGCAGTGAGCTGAGATTGTGCCACTGCACTCCAGCCTGGGCAACAAGAGCAACTCAGTCTAAAAAAGTGGAAATTCTAAAACCAGGAATTGTAACAACCCAATTTAGGAATTCAATGGATGAATTTAATGCCTATGACACATAACCAGAACACAGAATTCATGAACTGAAAGACACTGGAGGGAATATCCATCAGGAAACAGGAAAGACAAACGGATGATGAAGTTTCCAGAGGTGGAACGTCAGACTCAGGGCCCCAGAGGAGAGGGAGCAAGAACGAGACAGAGGCAACACTGGAAGAAATGTGAAAGGCTTCAAGCCACAGATCCAAGAGGCCTCAAACTCTGAAGAGGCCGAGAGCACGTGCTGGGACCGGGCGCGGTGGCTCACGCCTGTAATCCCAGCACTTTGGGAGGCTGAGGCGGGCAGATCACAAGGTCAGGAGTTTGAGACCAGCCTAGTCAATATCGTGAAACCCACAAAAATTAGCCCAGTGTGGTGGTGCTCGCCTGTAGTCTCAGCAACTCAAGAGGCTGAGGCAGGATAATCACTTGAACTCAGGAAACAGAAGTTGCAGTAAGCCGAGATCACACCACTGCAGTCCGGCCTGGGAGACAGAGTGAGACTCTGTCTCAAAAAAAAAAATTGGTCCATCAGCGCATAAGCACCAAAAACCAAGGTGAAGGCCATAACCCTACAGGCACTCGTGCCCAGAGATGGCCTTTGAGACAGGAGAAAGGACGACGCATGCAACGTGCAGAGTCAAGCTAAAATTCTACACACCTTAGAGGAGAAAGTCCTTCGAGAACGAGGGTAAAATAAATCCACTTGCAGGCAAATAAAAATTAACGGAATCACCAGCAGACCCATGCTGATATTCTTCAGGCAAAAAGCAAATTATACCAAGTAAAAGATGGAAAAAATGCAGGAAGCACAACAAAGAAAACAACATACATAGAACTAAGCAGCAGGGCGCAGTGGCTCACGCGTGTAATCTCAGCATTTTGGGAGGCCAAGGCACGCGGATCACCTGAGGTCAGGAGTTCAAAACACGCCTGCCCAACATGGCAAAACCCCGTCTCTACTAAAAGTACAAAAAAATTAGCTAGGTGTGGTGGCGGATGCCTGTAATCCCAGCTATGCAGGAGGCTGAGGCAGGAGAACCACTTGAACCCGGGAGGCAGAGGTTGCAGTGAGCAGAGATTCCGCCACTGCACTCCAGTCTGAGTGACAAGGTTGAAACTCTGTCCCCTCAAAAAAAAAAAAAAAAGTCTAAGCACATGGTGATGTCACCAGGCATTAGAGATCATGTCTTGCTGGGTTGAAATACGGTGAGGGAGTTGCCAGGTGCGGTGGCTTACACCTGTAATCCAGTACTTTGGGAGGCTGAGGTGGGAGGATCACCTGAGCTGGGGAGGCTGAAGCTGCAGTAAGCCAAGATCACACTCCAGCCTGGGCAACAGAGTCAGAGACCCCGTCTCAAAAAATAATAATAAAAAAATTTCAAACCAAAGAAGATAAATACCTTTCATTTTGACAAGAAGTTCAAGCAGAAAGATGAAACGTTCCAAAATATACAGGAACGTGATGGTTTCAAAAATATGAAACCAACACCCACAGACTCTAATAAGAAAAATCCATCCTCTTTGGGAGAAATTTCACCAATCTGAGCTGTCACTTGCCTACCTCACTTCCTCCGACCCACACACACGCTACCACACCCAGAACCGGGTGCCCTTCAGAGCTGGCCCATCTCCCCTCCAGCCCCTGCCTCCCTCCCTCCCGGTGACACCCCAGGAGCTCCGGCGAGTATCTGGTGACTCTGAGTGTTCTGAGTTCCCACTCTGGCCTCTTCGATGCTATGCAGACAGAGCCCGGTGATTCAGAGACCAGGGCACACCCCCACCCTGCATGCGCTCTCTTGGGGCCAGCACCCAGTCTGGTCTGGGACCCGCATGCTCGCCGGGTGCCCCCTCCTGGTGTCCCCATGGTGCTGGGCACAAGAGTGAGGCCCCAGCCTTCCCAAGGCTGTGCAGAGCACGCGGAAGGCATGGTTGGTGTGGGGTGGGCAGTGACTGTGCCGTCTGCGGCCCTGGGAGCCTGACCTGGACTGTCTGGTGGAGGTGGACGGCCACCACCTTCTTCATGCAGTCCTTGATCATCTGGGAGGTGAAGAAGTTGGCCTCGCCCTTTTTGTCCACGGCGATCTTGCGGTAGTCCTCCAGCAAGATGGGGCAGATGGCCTGGGTCGGGTGCGTCATGTAGATGGGCCCGTCGTAGCCCACCATCTCGCTGAAGTAGGGGAGTGCCCCACAGTGGTCCAGGTGGAAGTGGCTGGGGGACGAAGCACGGGTCAGGCTGGGCCCACCCTACCCGGCCGTCACCCCCGCTCTGGGCTTGCGGGTCCTCGTCCCTTCGTTCGCCGAGTGCCTACTGTGCATCAGACCCCGTCCCAAGGACTCAAGTCTTAGGAATGAGCAAACACAAAACTCTCTCCCTCGAACCTTCAGTCTGAAAATCTAGCGAGGCAGTAAGCGAACGGGACACAACATTAGTGATGGTGACACACCTGCAAAACAATGCAAAGCCGCTAAGGAACCGTGAGTGGGGGAGCCGCTGGCTTTTCAGGTGGTCGGGACAGGCTGAGTGGAGCTGCAGGTAAAGGTGGCACAGACCCGAGGGCAGGGACAGTGCCTGGCAAGCCCCGAAAAGGCACTAGAGGCCCTGCCGTGTCCGAGAAGAAACCACAACCACGAGGGTGGGGACACTGCCTCCGGAGACGGGGCTTCTCCAGGCCTCACAGGCCCCTCTGGCTGCTGGGGAGGACAGGCAGGG